AAATCTTGAAACATTTGAATATATGATCACTATAATATAATCAAATGCAGGGATCTTATCAGATGTGGATCCTTAGTTAACAACTGTGGGAGGAATTCCATGTGGGAGGAATCCTGTGTGGGAGGAACCCTGTGTGGGAGGAATCCTGTGTGGGAGGAATCCTGTGTGGGAGGAATCCCATGTGGGAGGAATCCTGTGTGGGAGGAATCCCATGTGGGAGGAATCCTGTGTGGAGGAATCCCATGTGGGAGGAATTCAGTGTGGGAGGAATCCTATGTGGGAGGAATCCTGTGTGTGAGGAATCCCATGGGAGGAATCCCGTGTGGGAGGAATCCTGTGTGGGAGGAATCCCATGGGAGGAATCCCGTTTGGGAGAAATCCTGTTGGGAGGAGTCCCGTGGGAGGAATCCTGTTGGAAGGAATTCCATGACTACCATTCATTATAATCATATATTTCATTCATTTATAATCATGAATTTCATTCATATATAATCATATATTTCATTCATTATTATCACATATTTCATTCATTATAATCATATGTTGCATTCTATATAATCATATATTTCATTCATATATAATCATATATTTCATTCATTATAATCATATATTTCATTCATGTATAATCATATATTTCATTCATTTATAATCATATATTTCATTCATTGTAATCATATATTTCATTCATATGTAATCATATATTTCATTCATATATAATACTATAATTTATTTATATATATAACATATTTTTGCTACTTAACATCTGACCAAACAACGATTTTCCAATAAATTCAAAATTGTAGAAAAAAACCCTTTTAAAATCATTAAAAACATCAAAAATACGTAGTTAAGTAGATAGTTTTTAAAAGTGTCCACCAATTATTCAAGAACTCTCTACGGATCACTGCTACACCGCTTTGCTTTACTTCTGATTTAGAATTTCTACTAAAATTCGTTTTTTGCAAAAAATCTAATTTTTTCAAATATTATTTTGCAAAAAATGTAATTTATTTCTCTTGATAAAAAAGCTTTGATGACTTTAAAACCGTATCGATTAAATAAATGCAATGTCAATCTAATCAACTTGCTTAAACTGCAGAATTAAAGAGAAGATAAATCGGATTCACTAAACTAAAATTTCCTTTCAAATTAAACTTTTATAGATTTCCTTCTTTTCCCTGGCCATTACGTAGATTGAAGGGATTTTAGTGCCGGTTACAAGGACAAACTTAAATGGAAAACTTTAAACCTGAAACTGTATTTATTTAAGAACTAGAACTAGAGTATTTACTATTTATTGTTCCTTTCTTACAAATACTTAATATTGAAACTTTAAACCTGAAACTGTATTTATTTAAGAACTAGAACTAGAGTATTTACTATTTATTGTTCCTTTCTTACAAATACTTAATATGGAAACTTTATCTAAAAATGTGAACTTCAATAAAAAGATATACCACGCTGAACTCAGGAGAAGGTCAGATTAATACGACATTACTGGTAAAACTTGGTGACCTCGTAGCTTCTCTAGTTTTGATTTTATTCACATTATGATAAAAGCAAGTTTATCCTGTTGCATTCTAGAAATTCATAACATTTTTGTTCTTATCAATAGCTCTTCAATAGAAGAAGTTATGATTAATAACATAAATGAGATTTTTTTAACCTGAAAGTGTTACATATTTCTTACAAAATATAATAATGGCTTAAGATAATAGATGAAATAGTAGCTTTAGCTGTAAAAATGGTAGTAAGGTTACATAACATTTTAAACTCAATATGAAGAAAAGATTTTCGTGGTTTTTCAAAATTTAATGAAAATCGAATTTTTTTGAAGGCTAATTTTTGAAATTTTATCATACATAAACCTACCCTGGGGTCATGTGAGGTCCCACTACAAAATTTGGGCCCCATCAGTTCAGCCATTTTGACGTTTATTGGAAACAACAAACACACAGACAGACGAAATACAAGCAAAGTATATATATATATATATAGTTAGATAGATATTATATAAATTATATCCACCGCTACACTAGTATCTCCAGGGAAGGGATGAGAAAAAGAAACAATTTATATAGTTCGGATATAAACCATTAAACAGGAAAATGGAATTACAAACAATACACACTTGAAATAAACTGGGATATTCTACAGAAAATAAAAGTGCTCTGCACAGCCAATTAGAAGCCGGGAAATTTTGTGCGCAACTCGTGAGAGAACAATTTACTAACTTTCACNGTATCTAAGCAAAACCAAAACAATATAGCAATTTAACATAACATATCAACCATGTTAGTCTTAGGGAGGAAGAATTATTTTTTTTTTCTGCTATTATTCTTTCTCTTTTTGTAGGTAATGATTCCTGATTCATGCTAATTTTGCAGGATTTAATATCTAGGAACATGATAATTGATATCTGAAGATTTATTTTCATAATGTTGTCACTTTCAAGTAAACTTCATTATTTATATAGAAGAATGAATAAAAACTATACTTTAAATGAGAAATGATTTGTAAAAATCCAGGGGGGTGTACCCCCCCCCCCTAATTTCACTCAGGGGGGTATAGAGGTTAATGGTTTACAATTCTATAGCTTGGGAACACAGGACTGTCCAGGTTACTCGTAGTTACTTCCGCCGTTTACCCGCACTTGGTCGATTTTACCGGGAAACAAAATTTTCGCAATTAAAACCGACCCACTCAATTTAGAATCTGAAATTCAAGCTAAGAACATTCCCGTGGTTCTTCATAGTTCTCCAATCAAAATTTGAGATCAGTCGGTCAAGGTGTTCCTGAGTTATGATCGGACAAATAAACAAACAGACAAACAGAGATTACAACTTTATATATAGATATTTCATGACAGATAGTTAGATATAAAGAACAAAATTGTAGTATTTTTCTGTGAGCAACTTCAAAGTGAAATATGAAATGTATATTAGAATATGTATATCAGAAATTATATTAAATCATATTAATACACGTGTTCTCGGAAGCATTAAGTAATATCGGGAATTTTTCTTTTAATTTCAAAAAAACATAATTTTCCTTAATTGGGTTTAATGGAGTAAAGGGAGTGAAGGAGGGGAAAGGGATGAAAATTGTATTTCAGCTACAAAACTTTATTTTTAATCTGAAAACTACAGAAATAAAAATAGGTAATTGTTAAGCGTAAATATATACAAACAAGTTATGTATGGAATCTGCATTGCAATGCATGCAAACTAGACAGAAGGAGAAAATCAAATACATGCGACATTATCCGGTTGAATTTGTGACCTCGTAGCTCCTCTAGTTTTGATTATATACGCGCAAGTATGAGAAAAGGAAATATTTCCAGTTATAAATTGAAAAATAGAAAAATGTGTTCTTTTTAATAGTTCTTTAATAATAGGAGTTATAATTAATGAATGAGTCATGTGCAATAAAGGATCGACGTATTATGATTTTACTGTTTAATTCCGCTAAATGAGTATACAGTGAAATCTTTCTCTATAACACAAAATGTGCTTTAACAGAGAGGGGTTAATACTATATATTAAAATTGATATTGATAAAGCTTGATGTTTTATTCTTATAACTTTATATTTTCATAGCTTGCACTTCCTTGTATTTTACGACTGTAGAAACTTTTTAAGTGTTTTCAAAGAAAGAAAATAAAGTGTTTTATATTTGTGATGGGCAGTAAGTTGTTTTATATTTGTGATGGGCAGTAAGTTGTTTTATATTTGTGATGGGCAGTAAGTTGTTTTATATTTGTGATGGGCAGTAAGTTGTTTTATATTTGTGATGGGCAGTAAGTTGTTTTATATTTGTGATGGGCAGTAAGTTGTTTTATATTTGTGATGGGCAGTAAGTTGTTTTATATTTGTGATGGGCAGTAAGTTGTTTTATATTTGTGATGGGCAGTAAGTTGTTTTATATTTGTGATGGGCAGTAAGTTGTTTTATATTTGTGATGGGCAGTAAGTTGTTTTATATTTGTGATGGGCAGTAAGTTGTTTTATATTTGTGATGGGCNATTTTGTACAATTTCTGGACCGAGCGCTAGGACAGTCCAGGGGCGGAGCGCTTCGGCCGCATGACCAATTATATCAGGAAATTACCAAAATTTTAAAACAAATGGTACATCTAGTGTTCTCTGAGGAATGTGCGAATAAGAGATAATTAAAGCTTTGCATTTGTTTTAAAAGTTAGAAAAACCTATATTAAAGTTCATGCCCTGGATCGGGATCCAACGGATCCGCAACAAAATGTATTGGATCCTAAGCACTGCTGATAATGAGAAATTATCTTTTTATGTAACTGTCTTGTTTTATCATATCAAAATAATTTCCCAAATGATAACACAAAGACATATATAAATTTATTCAACTTAAGTTTCATAAAAATGTGCGTTTTTTATTAAAATTTCCGAAATAAAAAGGGAAACCTGCTTTTCCGGTATGAAATGTTTGCCTCGGAACAAAGTAGAAACTTTTTATGCACAAGATCAGTGTGAGTAAAATGCGAGATTGAATAAATTATTTTTAAAAAACGACTAGATATCATAATCACGTTCTATTTAAATGATTTAGAAGTAAATTAAAGCGTTATCTATTTATGTATCTACCTGTCTTATCTATCTATGTCTATGTCTATCAATTTCTATCTATGAGATTTCTAACTGACATTTCTTATCGAATTGGAGGAATGGGAGAGGTGGAAAAGGATTTTGAATCCATCTCAATCCCGGTTTAGTCTTGACCATGGGTACTGGAATAGGGTATCATACGATTTGGAATCCTGTACCATACCTACGACACAACGCCCGTAATGCGCTCTCCTCTGCTCCGTCCACAGGTACTGGAATAAGACGTCAGAGGGTACCAATCTTCCTCGTACCGGACCGACCTTTCATTCGTTCGCAAGCTTCGTTGCGATACCTTACTGACTATCTTGGTCTTATCTGGTGTCTAAGAAACAAGGGGGAAAACAATATGTTAATGAATATTGAATTTGTGAAATGAAGTCCTGTATTTCAGATTCAGAATAAAGATGCTCTCAGAGGTGAAAGAATTTATTCCTCGTGTTAAGGCAGAGGAAGGCCAGCAGGAGGAGGAACCGGTTAGTCTAGTAGTTTTTCCAGATTTAAAAATCTTATGGGCTTAGCATAGAATTTAAATATATCTTGGTATATTTCTAGAAACCCCTTCCTTTCTATTTTGTACAATTTCTGGACCGAGCGCTAGGACAGTCCAGGGGCGGAGCGCTTCGGCCGCATGACCAATTATATCAGGAAATTACCAAAATTTTAAAACAAATGGTACATCTAGTGTTCTCTGAGGAATGTGCGAATAAGAGATAATTAAAGCTTTGCATTTGTTTTAAAAGTTAGAAAAACCTATATTAAAGTTCATGCCCTGGATCGGGATCCAACGGATCCGCAACAAAATGTATTGGATCCTAAGCACTGCTGATAATGAGAAATTATCTTTTTATGTAACTGTCTTGTTTTATCATATCAAAATAATTTCCCAAATGATAACACAAAGACATATATAAATTTATTCAACTTAAGTTTCATAAAAATGTGCGTTTTTTATTAAAATTTCCGAAATAAAAAGGGAAACCTGCTTCTCCGGTATGAAATGTTTGCCTCGGAACAAAGTAGAAACTTTTTATGCACAAGATCAGTGTGAGTAAAATGCGAGATTGAATAAATTATTTTTAAAAAACGACTAGATATCATAATCACGTTCTATTTAAATGATTTAGAAGTAAATTAAAGCGTTATCTATTTATGTATCTACCTGTCTTATCTATCTATGTCTATGTCTATCAATTTCTATCTATCTATCTATATCTGTCCATATCTATTATCTAGTTATATCTATCTACATCTAACTATCTATATCTATCGTATCTATATCTTATCTATCCATTTATGTCTATATATATCAATCTACCCATCTGTCTATCAATCTATATCTACCTATCTACAAGGAGGATGAGGAGGACCTGGTTGACCCTGTTGCCAACGTGAAGGAGAACTGCGCAGAAACTACCTGTTCAACTGCCAAGGTGAGAACAGAAACACAGAGGGTTACACTTTGGTATTTTCCCAGTTTAGCGATTTTTCGACCCCCCCCCCCCCTTCCTATGAATTTTGTGAGTGTTGGGGGGGTGGTCCATAAAGCGTATACTTGGACGGACCAATCTTTGATCACAAGGCTAGGGCGGACACTTTTCCTGTTTAAATGGACTGTAAGCGTTATTTTGTGTGACCCTCCATCCGATTCACAAATATCTGATCTAGTATGAAATAGATAAATAATTGGTGATAACTTTGAAAAATGAAAACTGATCATTTTCATTTCAAGTGACTTCCGCATTTAAAAACATTTGAATATGAGATATATTGTTGTTCAGGCGCGCTTGGACGAGTGTAATGAGAGAGTGATCAGCAAAACCAAGACCTCGGAGACATGTTTCGAAGAGGTTCTAGATTTCTACCATTGTGTTGACCACTGTGCTGCTCCTCAGATTTTCCATCACGTTAAATAAACCCTTTTATTCATCCTGTCATAAAATTAGTCATCCTTGTATAATAATAGATTTATTTATTTCAGATTGAAATGAATGAAAATATGTTCGATTAACAGGTAAAAATAAACCTATTTTACTGAAAGTCAGGGGTGTATATTCTTGTTATATTTTTTCCCTCTTCGTATATCCCTTTTCCTCTTCAGGAGGTAGCGTAAAAGGTTCCGCGTTTTTTAAAAAAAGATACTTTCGTAAACTCTGAGTTAAAAATCCTTATCACTGTGTCTTCATTCTAAGCTTGCATTTACAATATTTTCAATATTGAGCAAGATAAATTAAAAGTGTTATAGGCTTACGGCGATAAATAATCGCTTTTGATCGCTTCTAATCTTACTTCTATCTGTTGCGTCTATACGGAGAAAATTGTTACAAACGACTTATCAAGTTATGCTGAAGAGCGTAGCGTCCACACAAATTCAGAAAGTTGCAATATTCAACTCGGATCAATTTAATTTCAAAAAAATCATTCAGATATTATAACATATAATCAATTATTTTTCGACGCATTCGTATATATTTAGCATTTCATAATTTATTTCATTCGTTTTGTATGCAATGCACTTAAAACGCCGAAATAGTTGGCCGCTTAATGCTCTCGATGCTTTGAATAATTACACGTGGCAGAGACACCTAGCGGGAAAAAAGCGTTTTGAGTGCATTTTATATAAAACAAATAACAAATATTATGAAATATTAACTATAGACGAATGCGTCGAAAAATAATCTATGACTCTGAATGATTTGTTTGAAATTAAATTGATTATTTTATGATACTAGTCGTATATTGAAACTTTCTGAATTTGTATGGACGCTACGTTCTTCAGTAAAAGTCGTTTTTAATAATTTACTCCTTATAGACGCAACAGAAAGAAGTAAGATTAGTAGCGATCAAAAGCGATTTTTTTGCACCGTATACCCCCTTTCATTTTTCGCGAAAACTCCCTATAAGCTGTTAGTTGTTAATTCTATTTCTCATATTTTACTCTTTCCTTCTAATTTGTTTCCAAAAAGATGAAAAACAGGGGGTTCATTTTTACTTAAAGTTGATTTCTCCCCCCCCCCCCCCCTGTTACAAAGTTATTGTCCTTTTTTTGTTAATCCTCCGCATTTGCGCTCCGGAGGTGTGCAAACAGCAGGGGGTAAATAAAACCAACATCACTGTATGAAGTAACAAAACTTCAAAAGATTAAAACTCCATTTTTCAGGAAAATTATTCGTTAATTTCCTCTTTGCTTTCACCCTTTTTGATTTCACTTCACTTTTTTATTTCTCTTCCCTGTTTGGTCAAGTTTTTATTTGGGGAAAGTAAGGAAATGCACCCCTGCCGAACTGGCCTGATGGGAAGTAGGTTTGAACGTTGGAATTCCCATAACTAGTTTATTTGGTTTATTTCGAACATTCTTCTCTTTCTTAAAAATGTTATTTCTTCAGGATGGAATCAGATCATCTGACAAAATCTCTGTCCCTTGATGGGTCTCAGGATCCTTCCTCTTTTCTTGGATCTAGTATTGGTCCAATATCTCCAGTTACTCTACAGATGCAGAAGCATCTTCTCTCCTCAACACAGACAGGTTTGGAGTCAGGACGGATACGGGTTGGTAGAAACGGATCATGTTCTCCAACCCCAGCTTTACCTTACACTCCAACCCCATCTCCCTCACCCTTCAACCCTCTCTCTCCGAATATAACAAGTTCTCTCCCGGATCTAAACCTTACTCTCTCCGCAGATTCAAAGACATTAAACTTCCTCCATGAGGGCAAGCAGGGTGCGGCGTATCCTGGTGGTTACGAAGACATGGAGGTCCGAAGTTCAGGTCCCAAATATGCCATCGGAGCATTAAATCACATCCCTCTTGGAGCAGTTTCTCCAGCAGACCTATCTTCAATGCCGAGATATTCTCCGCAGATTGAATTAAACTCCGTCCTAACCTTCACGGAGCAAAGTCAGGATCTGAGCAATCTCCCGGTCTCGTCACAAGACAAGATTAAGAGTTACATTGTTATGGACGCAAACGGAGGAGCTAGGGTCTCAAATTCCCTCTCCATGCTGACCACCCACCACAACACCATAGAGAAGAACCTGCGTGTGCTGGATATGTCTGGGACGGATAAGATCCTTCCTGTCAACCTGACTGCTCCTTGTATCACCACGTTAAACCCAGTTTCCTCCCAGCAGATAACCTGCTTAATTCCTGCAGTCACCACCCAGCATATAACTTGTATAACCAACCTTCAAGCTCCTGCTACTACCCGGATATCCTGTGTCTCCGCTGTACCTAGTCTAACCTCCTCTGTTAGAAGCCTGCAGTGCCCCTCCTCCGTATCCTCGGAGCAGAACAACGCTATCCTGACCGGAGGATACGACTCCTACTCCTCCTCTATGATACATCCAAAGAAGAAGAGAAGATTACTCACCTTTCTTACAGAGGAAAATAATATGGGTACACTGACTGCAACTAGTACGGAGCAGGGGATAATTGTTAACCAATCCCAACCTTCTAAATCTGATACATTTATCCTTAGTTCATCCTGTCCGTCTCTAGTTTCTGTATCCAGTAGCCCAACCTTGATTATCAATCCTTCAGGAACCATTAGTTCTGTTACTAAACCGGAACCAACTATATTTCTCAACACGTCGACTAAAAATTCGATTCCTTCGACTATCTTTATCAGTGAGGGCTCGAACCCTGGGAAAGAGACGAACCCTGATGTTTATCTGAACCAGACGGAGGGAATCGGAAAGAACGAGCAAACCTTGATTATCAACTCGGATGGGACACAAGCAACGTTAATTACTCCAGTCTCTGCTGCTCAAGCTACACTTCTCACATCTCAAACTTCGGTAAGATTTATAATTTTTAAAGATCTTATCATTTTATTACACACTAGCTGAAGTGCCCGGCGTTGCCTGTGGGAAAAATAAATCGAATTTTGATGAAAAAAAAATATTTTTTTAGCCTATGTTATCCCCCGGGTACCCATGGGTTTTCTCGAGAAATTTCAACCCATTCGGTCCAGCCGTTTGGCCTGCTTTAGCTAACATATACAATATATACAATACAAATATATGAAGGAAGAGCTTTATTATATAGATTTATTTTCTAGAATGGAACTCTACTAGCTCCTGTTTCTGATCCTGGTTCCCTAGTCTCCAGTCACCTGGTTCAACCAAATGCTGTAATCCACCAAAACTATTTGTCTAAATCCGCGTACACAACCGGGCACGTTATCAGCGCCCCCACACTAAGTTTCAGACCAGTTTTAAATCCTGCCTTGAGCGTTGAATCTCTGGTTGGAACTGCTGGGGATATGGAGAATGTTACCCTGAGTTCCGTCTCACTCCAGTTTCCTGTCAAACCTAGAGAATCAAGTGAGCATGAACGAATCCATCCGGCCCTGAACAACTATATAGAACAGATGTCTGTTTATAAGTGTATACTCTGCGGGTATCTGAGTACTACAGCTGAGGGGGTTGAACTTCATCTCCTGGATGATCATGAAGACAGTATGGGACATCTTGATCTAGAGGATGAGAATAGTTGGATAAAGGTGGCACAGCGAGAGGGAATAAAGCTCAACTGTCCTATGTGCGCAAATCTATTCTCATCTGAAAGATCTTTTAAGGTTCACTTGACAGAGGATCACATGGTTTCAGAATCCGAGGCACTGTCAAGGTTCGGAAAAGAGAATTCTCACAGAAAGATTAAAACGTCCAAAATTATCCGGGATGAGAAGGAGAGGTTACGGGATGAAAGGAGAAAAAGCCGACAGCACAGTTACGAAGCGTATGTTGACTCCCAGGGGGAACTAAGAATACGATCCTCCGGAGCTAAACCTAAACTATCCAGGGAGGAACTTACAGAGGAGGAGATCGATGTTGACGGACTTCAGGAGGAGGATGATGAGGATAACCAAGATGAGTTTGATATGAAGGCATCTGAATACGTGAACTTGGTTCTAAAAGGAGATTCAGTTCCGACTGGAGCCGACCATGGTTCCTGGTTCGGAGAGAAGAAGGACCGGTGTGTACGAACTAAGATCGGGAGACCGAAAGGATCCCGGAGCTTCGGTTTATCTTGGGTAAAGAAGATTAATCCTAACCTAGTCTTAAGTGATCAATTGATGGGAGAAGAGTGTGGGATAGAGAATTGTGCTGTTAGACTAAAGGTAACTAAAATATTTTCAAGAATTCATTGAGTTTTTTCTCTTTTAATTTTAACAGGCCATCAGCGATTTACAGTTTAGTTCTTTTCAACTTTATCTAAGTTTACAGGTTTTGTTCAAAGCAAAGATTTTGCCAACAGTCTGTGCCTCCGGGTGGGGTTGAGTGGTTGTTCTCTCCGTAAGCAGTTTTTACCAAATACCAGGGGGTTTATAGTTTTTAAGAAGAAAATGAAAAATTTGACATCTAAAGGCCAAGTTTTTGATACTTTTTTCCCATTTATCTTTTCCTGCAAATCATTTAACTTCCCAAATTCAGCTAAATAAACTCTTAAAATACATTGTGGAAAAAAACAAAAATATTTGAAATATTTCTACTCTATCTAGGATCCTGAGAAGCTAGAACATCACCGTGTCGCCCACCGTGGTGAATTCTATACTTGTACCGAGTGTTGTCAGGGAACCTTCAAATTCTTCCTTATATCCCCTAAGTTGCTACATAAGCAAGAAATGCGCGCAAGTTACTTATGCAGAGAAACTACAAATGAAAATAAAGAGTTTAAAGAAATAAAAACGTTGATGTTTAATTCATACTTGATCAGACAAAGCTTTTAAAGGTACTGTTGTAAATCGGACAATGGCATCCATGCATGGAGAGTCACTTGAAATTACGCTTACTACAGTCCATTTAAAAATGTAAATTGTCAATTTAAAAAACTAAAATGGCTTCAGTTTCCTGTTTCCCCACGTATTGAAGGTTCTTGGTTGTAGGAGTTCTCTAGTTGGCATAAATGTTCCCTGCATCTGTGGCGGGATCATGGAATAGATATGGAACTGCTTTCTTGCGAGCATTGCGAGTATAAAAGCTTCACTTCTACTGTCATGGAGCGTCACAAGGTAATCCTAAACATGCAAATTTGAATCGAGCAAGTAATATATTTTGTATTTACGAAGTCCACATTTCGTAAAGAAAACTACTTGACTGTATAAGTCAGTTTACTATTTACTGTTTAAAGTGGTATTTTACTTGTATAACAGGCAAAGGATAATAAAATATTTGGAGGTTGGAGCAAAATGTGGGGTATTGTTAATTTTCAACGCTTGATCTCGATATCCCATGTAGACACTTTTAATTTGAGGATAAAGGCTTGATCCTTCATTTAAAGTTATCCACCACGGGATATTGAAGAGGGAAAAATAATCCCTAGGTCTGCATTAGATGGAGATCAATGCTTGATCCTTCATCCTGAGACTCATAACACAAGTTCAAGCTTCTAGTAGTTTGATTGTCAATTGTCAATGTTTCTCACCAATTAAGTCATAACGAATTAAAAATTGGTTTGTCCAAATTATGTAATGCATAATAACGGAGACAAATAAAAAATCACAGGGAGCATGAAATGTTGTCTTGATTTATGAAAATGTCGAAAACTTTTGCAGGTATCTCACGTTGATGAGAAACCGTTCCTTTGTCCTGATTGTGGTAGAGCAGTGAAGAATGATAAGCAGTTGAAGGAACACATGAAAACTGTTCATAAAATCGGTATAGACGGAGAGAAGATAAAAAATGTTCACACCAAGGTACCAAATATTATCCATGGTTGAGATAGATTTATTTACATTCTCCCTTTTTAACTTTTCTTTTAAATTAAATTTTGAGATATTAATAGAAATCTATCTTTTTTTCTAGTTTAAATGTGATATCTGCCACAAATGTATGTCCTCCCAGCGTGAGTTAAAGTTCCACAAGGAGAGGGTTCATGAAGGTCGAAAACCCTGGCTCTGTATGCACTGTGGACACGCAGCATTCTCCAACTCCTCCTTGAAACTACACATGAGATCTCACACGGGAGATAAACCATACTTGTGTAAGGAATGCAAGTACAGGACGAGTGATCACAACTCTCTCAGGAGACATATGCTCCGACACTCCGGAGAGAAACCGTATAGATGTCCTTACTGTCCTTACTCCGCTATACAGTCCTCAGGGTACAAGGTAGAATATTGATAATTATGTCATGTTATCTGTATACTTTTACAATGTGATGATGTAAGCCCTTAGAATTTTTATCTTTATTTATTATACTAAGTACAATGTACAGCGTACACTGTACATAAACAAATCTTTGGCAAAAAGAATTTTGAAGTGTTAAAAGAATTTTAAAGTTGGAGGCAAGTAATTGGTTACTTTATGTCTGTCCATAATCGTAAATTGTATAATGTTTGTACAATGTACAATGTATTGTACATAAAGCCGGGCACGATGACTTATCACTGAGGGTTACCTTAACCGACCGATCGAGTCTCATGTTAGAAATATTCGTTCCTTTATCTTATCCACGGGGTTTCCGCTAGTTATTTAAATCTAGATAGTAGGTAGAATTATAAAAAATAGGAATTTTCTTTTTTTCTACATATTTCGTCTACAATTTTTATTTTCGACTTTGTTCACAGATGGAGTCCTGTGAATAGAAAATCTGGAAAAAAGTTTGAAACCCTGATGAGAACTGGAATCGTCCTGAATTTTCTGTTATATTTAGGTTCATCTACGAAAGAAGCATCCAGAGAAGGGAGGGGAATTGTTCCAATGCAGAGACTGTAGTTATGCTACACTTCAGGTACCTTATACTACAATGGTGGAATTCTACGTTCAGGGAGTTAATTCTGATAATTACTGTACCGGGTACCTCCTAATAGAAAACTTTATTTTGGGACGCATTGAAAGGCGCTTTTAAAAAATTCAATTGTCAAAATAAATCCATTAGATACGCATCAATAACTTTATGGAAACGGTTAAAAAAAGTTATGACCTGAAATCAAAACGTTTTACGCCTAGGAAATTCCGTGTTGCTAAATTTAATTTTCGTCTTATAAAAAATTTTACTAGATTCAGTCATTTAGCATAATACACTTCAAATACATTTGATGCTTTGATATTTTTAAATTTTGATTAAAGTTTGAAATCAAATTCATCCATAAATATAAATAAATACATGATTTGTTGCCTCAGGCTCTAAATCTTTCATGTCTTGTGATTCACCATAGAATAGAAATTTGTTCTACATGTCATATGAAGAAAACCAAACCGTTTAAGTTCTCCAGTGTCCGAATTTAATGAATTTGAGCCGCGGCTTAAATCTTTCAAAAACCGGTTTCAATTGAGCGCCGACTTAAATCTTGCAATACATGCAATACATTTTTAGTGGAATTAACCATTTTGAGCTGCGGCTCAAATTCTTAAAATTCGGCCTCGGGGGTTTATATTTTCTTATAAAATCGTTAAAAATCGTGCTAGTTGATAAATCTTTCAACCATATATACTTACAGTTGTAACAAGCTGATGGAAATTTCTTTATTTTTAGGAGAAGTTGTTCCTGGTTCATGTTTCAACCCATCATAATAATGACAAGGAGAACCTCGGAGACCCAACCTTGAGACGGAGAAACTCCGGCAATCCGTCCTGTAAACCTAGCTCCGAGGATCCGGAGACATCCATCTGGATGAACTCAGAGATGGAATAATCAAGTGAATTTATAATCACAAACCTTGCTCCGAGGATCCGGAGTCATCCATCTGGATGAACTCTTAGATGGAATAATCCGAACATCTATAATCACAAACCTAGCTTCGAGGATCCGGAGTCATCCATCTGGATGAACTCTGAGATGGAATAATCAGAGAATTTATAATCACAAACCTTTGTTCCGGGGTTCCGGAGTCTTCCATCTGGATGAACCCAGAGATGGAATAATCAGAGCTCGGAGGATCTGAATGAACCCGGAGATAAATAATCAGAGAATCTATAATCAAAAACCTTGCTTAAGGAACTGAAGAATCAATTTTAAGTAACCCACCATTTGTTGAGTGGGTTGCCCCTCTTGAAATAGTGGGTTCCTTACAGCATTCCCTTCAGTCAGTTTTTAAATTCTGGATCTTAAAAATTAGTCGAGAGTATATATCCCAAGATATTTTATGTTTCGTAATATAGTGAAGAGTGTGATTTATTATTTTTAGTTTTTGTCTTGCTTATAGAGGTCCTTACTTATAAAGTTTGGACCACAGTATTTACTCTTTTGTGTTTCATATTTAAAATTTATTCTGTTGAAAATTTCAAATTGTCTGTGATATTGGAAATACACTATTTATACATATTCATTTATATATATATATAATATATTTATGCACACACATTTTAAATATCTGTTAACTAAACCGTTAGTCGCGATTGAAAGTTTTCTAACAACAGTTCTAAATGCGTGGGATTTTTGGATTTTTCTTAAGTTATAAACTTATGAGAGGGGACGGGGGAAACAGTGTCTACTTTTACAAGAAAAGTATATAAATGCCTATCTAGTTGTATTTTTTCAAGCATTGAACTACGGGTACGATTTTTGATGCCCAGGAAAAAAACTGGAAGATCTGACACTCGTCCTTAAAATTTATTTATTTTCAAATTAACCCTTAAAACATGTTCACAATCTTTTTAAAGGGGGGGGGGAAGGTTGATAGTGTTTTAAAGAAAATATACATCCCTGATCCCTGTGTAAATCTTAGTTTTGCAAATTTTAATTCGTGAATATTTTGAATTATTTTTAAATTTTACATTATTTCTCACTTACTTAAATAGATAGATAGATTACAATGAATGCTTATCTGAACTTGGAGGGAACTGGAGAATAGTTTTGTATTAGCTCTTGAGGAAATTGAATCCCAAATATCTCCAGATAATAACCGGAAACTAGAGAAAGAAATCTGGAGAAGATTAAATATATGTAAGAAACGGATAATTTGAACAGTTCGATATTTTTTTATGCTTTATTGGTTGGACTAACATCAGTCGCATTGACAAATTTAGTTCTGTTGTCCAAATGATCTTAATAAAAAAGAAATTATGCACCCAGAACCCGAATTTAATGAATTTCAGCCGCGGCTCAAATCCGCCAAAAACCGGTTTCAAGCCGGCTTAAATCTTTAAACTTTGAATTTAAGGGGAACCTACTATTTAAACCGCGGCTCAAATTCTTTAAATTCGGCCTCAGGTATCATCTTTATAGAGATCCGATCATTTGGACAATCGTCCTGTTGAAGGTTAGTCGAAAGGATCGTTTGTTCAATCGATCATCAACTGGTATCCACTTTTAATTTGAAATCTTTTTTGGAACACTTAAAGAACTCTGGTTAGTCTGATTTTTTAATGAAAAACTTGGTTCACCTTTTTGGTTGTTTTACAAGTCGCATTATTCATGATTTAATGACTTTCTTGTAAATTATGTGACTACTATAATTATCTTTTTGATACATTGAACAAATAAATTTATAAGATTATGCTCAGTAAAAAAAATTAACACGCCCTAGAGCAAAAAGTCAGACTAGCAATGTCGTACACATTGTACCGCAGTGTTCGTAGTGCTCAGTGCCCAAGTAAATATAGTGTCGATCTTTTCTTAGTGCACAAATTATTATAATTGAGAATAAATAATCTTGTGCGGTACCCCGTACTGTACTGTACTGTACTGTAGACATAGAGAATAGAATATATAGAGAGGAATTTACTAGAAAAATGTGTAAAACGGCCATTTTGTTGTACTGTTTCCATACTGCAGGTGTACTTCACATATTTATGCTATATAACCTGTTGGGCCCTGAAATATCATTTTATAGAAAATCTAAAATTATTGTTAAAAGAAAACCAAATTATGAAATAGGCTGGTTTCATGATTGACCAATGATCATTTCACATAGACTCTATGCCTTCCACTTGACAAACGATGATTTTCCGTTATAACTATAAATCAAATGATGTTTTTATTCACCTAATTCATTATAAAGTTTATTTAACAGTTTAAAAAATTCGAAATTTAAATGGATAGTCTAGGGAACATACTGTATTAATGTACTCTACTGCATATGATTTGTGAACATTCACATGATTTGTACACTTTGAACTCCCTTTCAGGCTGAAAGGGACTGAAAAAAATCATACCGAGAGATTCTTTTAATTCCTCTCTATATATTCTATTCTCTATGACTGTAGACGGGATTTGTTTAATTATAGAGTGGAAAGTTCGATTCACAACGGTATCCTTATAGCTTTTTATCTGATCAAAATTCAAAAGTGAAGGAATTAGCAATATTTCTCATTTATTATTATTTTCAGTTGTTGGTTCTCTCCATTATAGTGATTCGCAGATTTCTTCAAGCAAAAACAATGGAGTAAACTTTTCGAATCTATTTAAGCTTGAAAAACGTCAATATCTTCCACATTATTAAACTAATTGTACAGACACAGGTTCAAGTAAAGGTTATTGTTGTGAATCTGGCATTATTTAAATGGTCATATGAAACACCAACGCCAGTGCTATTCTAAGGCGAAGATTATTTTGTTCTTTTCTCGATTTGATAAGTTTTAATAACTGTACAAATCTATTGTGAAAATCCACAAGTATTTATGTCTCATAATTCCCCCCTTAGATATATGAATATTATTTAAGTTAACTCAGATATCATGACATTGCTTAGGGAAAGAATGAAAGGGGTTCGATGCCAGAATGAAAAATTGTCGGCTTCTATCTAGTTACAATAATGTAGGAGTCAAGGACTTTTAAATGTGGAACAACTGGGTTTCAAATGTGTCACACCATTTTAGATTGCAAGGGAAAGAATCAGGATTATTTTTTTGGAGGGGGCGGGGGGTGTAACATCTTCCAGTCATATTGGTCTAGATGTTTAAAATAAACTAAAACAATTAATAATCATAGATAAATGAATATTTTTTACTAGAACTCGAACTATGGAGTCTTCCCGAGAACTAAAATCTCGACTTTCTAAACCAGGAGAGGTTAAACCTGAACCGTCTTTACCACTAGGAGAGGTGAAACCAGAACCTTCTCTACCTCCAGGTTGGAGAAAAGAGTTCTCTAAAAAGGAAAAAAGGCATTATTTCTTCAATGCGAAAACAAAGATGTCTGTCTGGAATCTCGATGATGTTATGAAGGAGCCTAATCTTTTTAAACAAAGAAATATGGAGTCCACAAATAAGCTAAAAGATATTTCTTTATTGGAAGAGAAAACTGGTTCAGATAAAGATCAGATCCTTCAAATGAAGATCCTACTAGAGAAGCTGAAATCAAACAAAGATCAGATCCTCCCTGAAAAACCAAAAACAAATAAAAATACGGTTCTCTTAGAGAAGACAAAAGCAAAGAAAAATTCCAAAGATAAAACTAAATCAAACAAAGAAATACAGGTCAATGATGACTCGAGTAACCTAAAAGAATCTGATATTCAAGGAAGGGATCAACGTTTGATAGTGTGATGAAATTTCCGGTCCGCCTTTCAAATTCTTTCAAATTCTTTCAAATTCTTTCAAATTCTTTCAAATTCTAAGTTTGAAATATTGACATTGGGTAGTAATATTATTGGGATTAGAAAATATGAGTTTGTGGCAAAGACTCTATTCCTTTCCAGGATGAAGTTGTTCAGGTGAAAGTGCATTATTGTAGAATAATAAATAGAATTTAAACTTAATTCATTTAAATCCTATAATGTGTTTCCAAGATGAATCAGTTTAAACTCAAAGTGAGAGTGAAAACTTTATTCAAGTTATTTCCCGGAAATGTCCTTTCCGGAGTTACTTCACGAGAAACGTACTTTTCGCTAAAATTAGTAACTTTTCAATAAAAAACAATCATTCTGTTTCTGAAATGAAATTAGCCTTAAACTATTGAATAAACGCTCTCATATTATTTTTTGCTCAAAATATAGATGAGATCAAATAAATCCATTTTTAAAAATTTTCATCTCTGTACAATCACCTCAACAACCCATCTCTGCCGTTTACCCTATTTAAAAGTTCCTTTCTCAAAAAATACCCTTGGATTGTTTAAAGGTCCAAGTGGAGACGAAAGAACAGTTTCGTAAAAGATTCGAAGAGGAGGTAAAGAGCGAATTTGTTATACCTAGATATTCACAACACCAGGCGTCATCCAATCTAAACAACCGTTCAAGTGCAGATCCTCCAAGCGGATCTAACAAACCTAAAGGACGTTATCATCGGTATATATATACAGATTTTCAAGCTTCAGATAAACCGATTGTAGAACAGTCATCTCCATTATTTATTAAAGAGGTTGCATCCCAGGCTATATCGGAGTTTCTAGTTGATAACCGTACCGGAGATCAGACCCCTGAGAGACCAAGCACACCTGATATAGAGTATGGTGCTTACTTTTCAACTAGTCCTTCGTCAAGCTCGGCAAACTCCGTCTCAGGCGAGGACGATCTGCAGGAAATGAAGTATTCCTATGAGCTCGGATATAATCATGAAGAAGTTTTCAAATCCTCCAGTGTTTATCCTGGTGCTATGACTGAACCTTATCAAAGATATCTTCAACCACCAGGAGCAGTATTAGCGAAAGAGCAACCAGGAAGAGTGTTCTTGTCTGAAGAGGAGAAGAGGATAAAACTAGAGGAACCGGAAATGTATCCTACGGACCAAGGAAATATTCTAGCAGAGGAAATACGTGAGTTTATGGAAGATGGAGGAGAGATTAGAGGGTCAGAAGGAGGTCAGATGGAGGAAACAGATCTGGAAAACTTGATATTTACTGAACGAGAAGAGGAGATGACGGAAAAAGAAGATTTACTCAACTCTAAACTTCAACCTGTTGAGTTACTTCATGTCCTTGCAAAGACAAGAGTGAATCAGCCTCCTATCTTAAACTTTGATCTCAAGCTCACTACCTACAGAATTCTCTCTCACGTGGTAGTTCTTGACACTGCTGTCGTCATGCTTTATCGTCATCTTGTTGATGAGATAAAGAACATGCCAGGTATTACAGTTGTACTTCCAGCCCTGGTAGATCTGGAACTAGATCTGCTCATGACTACGGAGAATATTAAGATCAGGCTTCATGCAGGAGAAGCTAAAGATTGGGTTCTCCAGGAGTTCAAACATTCGTACAGTTTAAAGAAGACGAACAAAGTTGGTCAAGATCAAGTGTTGGGGTTTTCTCAAAGTATCTTTAGAATTGCTCGGAACAAAATTTTTAAGAAATGCACCGTGTTCAGTTGCGAAGAAATAGTTCCCGGTCACATGTATATTCGAAGTTTTCCTTACGCATACTCCAGGGACTCCAGGAGATAGAATGTACATAATATTATCTGGAAAAAATGCATATCGCTTTAGATCTTTGAAAATATTGGATACATTTTAATATTCTCAAATTGTTATCACACATATTCTGGTTTATTAAATTTGCCATCAGTTCTTAGATAATAAAACTTTTAACATTTTGAAGAAGACTTAAGATTAACATTTGAAAAACTTTAAAAAAAAATATATTACAAAGAAATTAGATTTAATAACAAAGGAGTTGAGTTTTTGCCACAAACTCTGATTTTCTAATCACTATATCTTTAGAACCAAATGTTGCAGACCTTAGATATTTCAAACTATGAAATCTGTTAGATCAAATAATCTGAGTTTGAAATATCAAAGGTTTACAACATCGGGTTCTAAAGATATTGAGGTTTAAATATTTGATTTTGTTCCAAATACTCAATTCCTTTGTATGGCATGCAAAACATGGCAACTCTTCATGTTGCGATTTTCTTATGTCTAATTCACTAGGTTTGAATTTCTGATGCACTGGTTCAGATTGGCTAATGCCTCAAGAAACATTAATAGTTGCTTAAGAGCACTTTCCAGTATAAGCTCGTCCTCTGTTCTAATGTACTCAATGAACTGGTCTGCCGTGACAGTTACGGCCTCCCAGTTACCCTAATCCACGGGTTCATATATCTTAACAATAAATTTCAAAACAAAGAAGAGAACAATTTTGAATGGCATTTGTTTAAAAGAGGGAAAGTGTGTCAAAACGGCTGAACCAAACTGGTAAAGATTCAATAAAAATCTACAGTTTAGAAAATGTTATCCTTCTTCTGTATTTCTACTTTGTCTTTGGCTAAAATTAAAAGTAAACTTATTAATCCAAAATTAATATTTTTTGTGAGTTATTGGGTTGAATGTGTATGAAACCCTGCCTGGTCATCCTTTATATTATTCCTGAAGGTGTTTAAGAGGGGAACCAACCTCGTCACCTCGCTCCAACCCTGCTCCAGGTCTCTCCTACACCTTCTCAGTTTTAGTAAAGACTCCATTAGTTTGCCAATTGTCTGAACCTGAGAGATGAATCCTTCCACCATCTCCTCTACCTCTCGTCTATCCTTGAACTCGTACTCGGGTTCAACAGGGTCAAGATCTCCCTTACAGTCCCAGATAGAACACATACTAAATGTTACACACGCAACCATATGCCACACATTCCCCAGAAGGGTTTTACACACGTCCTCTTCCTCTTCCTCATCATCATCATCATCATCCTCATCCTCATTCTCCTCGAGCTCATCATCAAATTCTCCCACCTTCACCTCCACCTCCATCCCTTGATAGTTTCTTTCATCCTGCTCCATCCACTCGCTCTCCTCATTCTCTTCCTTATCTGTAGATTCAACTTTAATTCTTTCATCAGATTTCCCGCGCCAGTTCTTTCTAATTTTTTTTGTTTCTTCCAGCGTGCTACGCGCCAGTTCAAAGCTTGAGTAGGGAAAATACACCGATTTCGGTAGCTCACCCCTTTCTTCTACAATTCTACAAAGTTGTAAAATCCCTGGAATCAATTCATCAAGTTTTCTTCTTGAGGCATTAGCCAATCTGAACCAGTGCATCAGAAATTCAAACCTAGTGAATTAGACATAAGAAAATCGCAACATGAAGAGTTGTCATGTTTTGCATGCCATTGTTATTAAATCTAGTTTCTTTGTAATATATTTTTTTTAAAGTTTTACAATTGTTAATCTTAAGTCTTCTTCAAAATGTTAAAAGTTTTATTATCTAAGAACTGGTGACAAATTTAATAAACCAGAATATGCGTGATAACAATTTGAGAATATTAAAATGTATCCAATATTTTTAAAGATCTAAAGCGATATGTATTTTTTCCAGATAATATTATGTACATTCTATCTCCTGGAGTCCCTGGAGTATGCGTAAGGAAAACTTCGAATATACATGTGACCGGGAACTATTCAAAAAGTTGGACTATTTTTCTAGAAGAAACATTTAGAACATGAATTGAAGGTACTGGAAGTGCAATTTTTATTGACTCCCATGCAAAGATGACAATGCCCGATTTTGAATCTTAATTAGATTAAAAATGTGGATGATACCTTCGTTTTTTTCCGTACTGAAATAGTGTTTAATTCTGAAAATTTCTCAATTGCTTCTTGCAAGCAAGGAATGCGCAAGTCACTTTCGCAGAAAACCGCAAATGAAAATGAACAGCTTATGGAAACAAAAACATTGATATCTAACTCGTACTTGATAAGACCAAAGGTTTTAATGGGACTGTTGTAAATCGGGTATTTTCATCTTTGCATGGAATGTCACGTGAAATTACGCTTACAGTCCCTTTAAACTACTTGATGGCATAGTTATCAGCATTTTAGAGCTTCTCTACCCAGAACTCCAGGCTAATGTTCTTCTTCATTTTCTTCTCCGTCAACCTGGTGAATTCCTGCACGGTCTTCTTAAATATATATTTTTAAGAATAGTTTAATGATGTTGATTAATAATATATTATTAACAGTAGTTGGTTAATAATGTTAAATTGCTGTGTTTTACTGTAAAGTTTGATAATGTTGATAAAAATATTGTGTTTTACTGTAGTATAAAATGTCGTTGATAAAGAATATTGTGTTAAAAGAGATATGAACAAATTTGTGTTTGAGTCTTAACATTTTTTGTATTGCGAAAGATTGTTTTAAACACTAATAATTTATGCCTTTAATTCTTTGAAAAAAGAAAATTTTCAGAACCCAAAAAGTATCAAACTCCAGTGATGACCGGAGAGTTTAATCTCGTCCCGGATCAGCTAATGACCGCAGACCATCCTGCTCCAATGGCAGAGAAGATGACCTCTCCCTCCCTAGAGAGGGATGTTTTGTACGAAGAGGACGCGAATCTAATTACAGAAAATTCAAACTTGCAGGCAGTGCTTAGGATCCATTTAATATTAATCAGGTGTGATGTGAGAATCCGCCCGGGCGTGAAATAATGTCCGGGCCACTGTATTTCGGCCTGAGCTGGGAACTTTTGAATGGTGGATATCGGGATTAAGGCTTAATCCACTCTTTTTCTTAATCTCCAGATTAAATATTGCTTGTTCTNCTCCATTGCCCAAATGCTGAAGTTACTTTTGCTATAGAGAGACCACAAATAAAACAGTTTTCAAACATGGATATCTAATTCATACTTGATCAGACAAAGGTTTTCAGGATACCAATGAGATCGGACATACAACTTACGTTACACTTCCTATAATTTCGAGAGGAATTGAGTTTTGCCACAAACTCAAGTTTTCTAATTCCTATATATTTCCAGCCTGATGTTGTAAACCTTTGATATTTCAAACTTACTATATTTACAGAATTTATAATTTGAAATATAATAACGGGTTGGAAACATATAAGGATTAACAAAGTTTGTGGCAAAATCTCAACTACTTTACTTAGGTTGATCACGAAAGAGAGAAAGACATCTACGACAACAGTTCTGCTCAGGATAGGTACTCTCATGGATTCCAGTCCCAACCTAATCCTAATCTATACCAACCCCTGAACCAGAATCTTGCTCCAGGGTTGGATGAGAACACATACTCTAGAAACTACTGGGAAGAGCAGCTTCAGTACCAGTACAACTGGGATAATGGTTTAACAGAATACTATATATACCCTCAGTCTGGATACCAGTCACAGTCTGGATACCAGCAACAGTCTGGATATCAGCCACAGTCTGGATACCAGCCACAGTCTGGATACCAGCCACAGTCTGGGTACCAGCCACAGTCTGGATATCAGCCAATTCAGAACTATCCAGAGGCGGAGCCAAGACCAATATATCAAGAGAAATTGATAAATTACCAGAACCAGAACAAGGACGTAACTTTGTCTCAGGGTTCAGGTGGAGAATTCGTGGACATGGTTTCGAATGGACCTATCAAACCTAAACCTCTGATTACTCTTGATGATAAAGAAGTTCAAATTATTTCCATTAAAAATACAACTACGCATACTACAATTCTTAAAGAAAAAAACGATAATGATGGAGGAGAAACCAAATCAAGTCCGATAGATCGCAAAAAAGGAACACTAGGAGAGGTGAAACCAGAACCTTCTCTACCTCCAGGCTGGAGAAAAGAGTTCTCTAAAAAGGAAAAAAGGCATTATTTCTTCAATTCGAAAACAAAGATGTCTGTCTGGAATCTCGATGATGTTATGAAGGAGCCTAATCTTCTTAAACAAAGAAATATGGAGTCCACAAATAAGCTAAAAGATATTTCTTTATTGGAAGAGAAAACTGGTTCAGATGAAGATCAGATCCTTCAAATGAAGATCCTACTAGAGAAGCTGAAATCAAACAAAGATCAGATCCTCCCTGAAAAACCAAAAACAAATAAAAATACGGTTCTCTTAGAGAAGACAAAAGCAAAGAAAAATTCCAAAGATAAAACTAAATCAAACAAAGAAATGCAGGTCAATGATGACTCGAGTAACCTAAAAGAATCTGATATTCCAGGAAGGGATCAACGTTTGATAAGTTGAGAGGTTGTGTGATGAAATTTTCGATCCGCCTTTCAAATTCTTTCAAATTCTTTCAAATTCTATGTCGATTATTGATTAAAAAACTGAGAAAGTATCCTAGGTAATGATAAAACATTTCAGTAAATAATTTAAATAAAATTCGGATTTATTCTTAATTCTTTGTTTAACAAATGAAACTTTATATTGGTGAATCCGTAGAGTCGATGATGTCTTTATTTTAATGCCTTCAAGAATGAGAAGGGATAGGAATTGAGCCTAAGACGTAAGCCTTTATAATTCTACTCTTTGATTATATGATCTAACAGAAATCATAGTTTAAAATATCCATGGGATTGCAAAGATAAAGGTATAAGGAAATCTGAGTTTGTTGCAAAAATTCTGGAGGTTTTCATAACTGTAGATATTATTAGAAATTGGCAACTTTTAGAAATAATCTTGTTTGCCCTATTTATAAACGTTACCCTTCCTTTTAAAGATAAAGTTTCTCCGAAACCTGTGAAGAAGAAGGTTGACGAGGATGATTTTGATCTTATGCTGAATATCAGTGATACTGAGAACAGGTTTACTGATGATGACATGGAGGAGGAGGAAGAGGAGAAAGCATACTACAATTCTTAAAGAAAAAAACGATAATGATGGAGGAGAAACCAAATCAAATCCGATAGATCGCAAAAAAGGAACACACATTCGTGAAATTATCGTGAAGGCACCAAACAACCAGACAATCCGCTCTAAACAACCAGACAATCCGCTCCAAACAACCAGACAATCCGCTCCAAACAACCAGACAATCCGCTCCAAACAAGCTACTAACAATCAAATTAACATCAACCGCACTAAGCAAGCCACAAACTACCCGATGATTCACATCCAGGCATCAAACACCTTGGCGGTATCGAACAGTATGCCCTGGATGTTACCAAACACCATGAAGGATGGGAAGAACGGAGCAGGATCAAAACTCAGCAGCTACGATGTAATCAATGTTTCATCTGACATTCCGGTTTCGGAGGAAAAGATGAAAACATTCCCTCCGATTTTTGGAAACAAGGAGCTTCAGAATACTAGGAAACAGGTAAAAAAGAGGCTGAAATACTCTGATAACTCTACCCCCCCCCCCCATGTTTAGATACTGTTCATAATTTAAGCTCAAATAAAAAAATGTAGTAAAAGGCATAAAATATGTTTTAATCTTAAAAATATAAAAGTATACAAAAGTAAATACGTAAAATCATGATTTAAAGTTCCAAAGTTAGGTTCACTGACTTAATAACCAGTACCTCAAGTTTACCGTGGTATGTTTTAGATTTTAAGTGCGAGAACCAATGATGAGAAACCACACGTACAGTTTTTGAACCCGAAAAGATTGATTTCTGTTCCACTAGATCAGGTTCCTATAGTTTCACAGAAAATCCTCCAAAAAAATCCCAAGATTAAATCGTTCCGAGAAAATGATAATCCCAAGATTAAATCTTCCATAGAGAAGGATAATCGCAAGATCAGTTCATCCCAAGAGAAGGCTAATCGCATGACTAACTCTTCCCAAGAGAAGGCAGATCGCAAGAGCAAAGGATCGCGAAAGAAAGAGAATCACAATAAGAACGAAATAGTTACAGTTTGTGAAAGAAGGTTTGTGTTAAAAGCATTATTACGTTATTTGCATTTTTATTTATGTCAATTCAAACAAACGCATACACAATATTTATTGAAAAAGTGTTAGAATGTTGAAAAGGAAATATTTATTTGCCATAAACTAAAATGTTATAATCCCTATATCTTTGCAAACTGAAAGCTTTGATATTTCAAACCTAGATTATTTGGTCAATCGGATTCATAGTTTTGGTTGCGAATAACAAGGGTTTTGTGGCAAAACTCAATTGCTGTTCAAAGTTTGGCTTTTTAATTATTCTTTTTAGGGTTAGTTTATGTGAACGAAGGATAAATGAGAAGTTTAAGACAGGATTGATCAATTTCTCTCCTAAACTCCAGTTTGCTGCTTCTACAACCTCCGTATCTCCAGACTCCGTGCACTCTGGGAGCAAGATAAACTCCAACCCGGAGCTGGTTCACTCTGAAACCCAGACTGAGTGGAAACTAGATCCTAATCAAGTTTATTTTTTCGTGAACAACAAAGATTTTAAACTGTTAGAAGAGAGGAATTTGAATAGGTCAGTAAAAATAAAATAATTGATATAAACAATAAACATATTTCAGAATTTCTTAGAAAAGTAAAGAAGCTGATTACTAGCCAACAATTCAATTCTATAATGCCTTTATCTTTGCAACCTGATGTCGAAGACCTTTCCTATTTCTAAATATGAGTTCTGTTCGACCAAATAGTAGAAGTTTAAATATCAACGGTTTACACCACGAAACTGCGGTGATAAAGGGATTTAAAAATAAAGTTGTGGCAAGAACTCATTACTTTCTCATTAGATCGTTAAAGAGATTTTATACCACTGCGAACCAATATGTGCACTTTATCATGCAAAAATGGAAAAGTATTTTGCCAATTACTCCTCTTTGCAGTTTTAAACTTAATATGCCTAAAGGTACAAAAAGAGTTTGAATTAAAACCAATGGCTTCAACATCTTGGAACTTGTTCATAATATCAAGGGAATTGAGTTTTTGCCAAAAACTCAAAATTTCTGATTCCTATATCTTTTCCATCTGATATTTGAAACGTCAAATATGCGATCTAACTGGATTTATAGTTTGAAATATAGTTAGCAAATCAGACACTCGGTTTTGCTATTGAAGAACATCACCTAGATTGCTTTATGGGCCAGAATGATTCGATACTTGTTTTCAATACAGTCAAAGCATTTGCATTTTTTCTCTAACTTTTTTCAATTTTATTATTTTTATTAATTCAATAATTCTGGTCACGTGATTTAAGTTTCAGATTTTCAAAATTTTACATATATTAATTTTCGTATAATTTTAACACAGTTTTATATCAATTTCTCGAGACAGGAACATCAGATAAAACTTTCATGGGTAGCGATCAAGAGCTAAAGTGATTAGTTTTCAACGTATACCCCCTTTAATTTTTCCTTTACTGTCCCTTTAATCTCCATCTCATGCAGATTAATTTAAGTCCCGAAGTGATCGTACCCAGCAGGGAAATAAAATGAAGGGATCCTTAAAGAAATTAGTCTTTTCTACAAACTTAAATTTTCTAACCCCTATCTTTACAACCATAATGGTGAAAACCTGTGATATTTCAAATTTAATTTATTTTATCTACCAGAATGTATAGTTTGAAATATATAAGATCTAGAATATTGTGTTGTGAAGATATAGGGATTAGAATATCAGAGTTTTTGGTAACGATCAATTTCTTTAAAAGTGCAACTGTTGAATATCGAGATCAGATTAAGGATACTCAACACTAAACATAAAATTATGTATTGAATTATGATGTAACCTGCAAAACATGAGAAATGTGTGATAAAAATTCTTTTGCAGTTGGCACCAACCACATTACCATAAAATTAAAAATAATCCCATATAAATATTTGGAAAATATGATGTAAAGCTTTGAATAATATTTTATAAATTGCAGGAACGAACCCCTGGTTGAATTCTGTATAGAGGAAGAAGATAATCATGTTCCAAGAATTCAGGTTAGTAGAGTTCATTTTATTATTTTGTATTTTAAAACGGTTTTTTATCTGTTAATTATCGGAATGATTAAAGAATCGGGATTCATTGGTATGCTATCGTAATGATTGGTATGTTGTAGATATTGGTATTTTATCGTAGATATTGGTATGTTATTGTAGATTTTGGTATGTTACCGTAGATATTGGTATGTTACCGTAGATATTGGTATGTTATCGTAGATATTGGTATGTTATCGTAGATATTGGTATGTTATTGTAAATATTGGTATGTTATTGTAGATATTGGTATGTTATAGTAGATATTGGTATGTTATTGTAGATATTGGTATGTTATCGTACATATTGGTATGTTATCGTAGATAAAGAATCAAGATATTGCCCTAACTTAAACCCTGCGAACCTAGATGTGCAGTGTGCTCGTCTCTTACAAGCACTATTTAGCCAATAACTCCTTCTAAACTAGTTTGAAACAAGTGCGTTCATATTTAGAATGTATAGCTTAGAGCTTCAACAAACCAACGCCCAACTTGTTGCGAAGCTTAAAAGTGGAGGCTGTCTAAAACTTTAATGAATAACTGTCAGAATTATCAAGATTTCAGTGATTTTAATACAAATATGCAATTATCTTTTTCAAAACTAATTGAAATTTAAAGATGCAAACCGTTACAACCCTGACAATGAGTTTCAACCCCAAATTGTGGCTTGCTACTAATTTTCTCATTTAACACTCTAATTTTTTGTTAAGAGTTGGGAACAGTTTGATGACGGAACTTTAATGGTTTCTGGAGTTGGAGAAAAAGAACTCAAATATCCGGAAGAAGATCCAGGTTTGGATTAAACTCTTTTTAACTTTAATAATTTATTTTAATTAAATTTTACAATATTTTTAAATATCCATTTGATATCAGTTAAAAATACTTTGGGATTTCTATTTTTCTTGTTCTTCATTTTCTTCTTGTTCATATGTCTTTCATACATCTTTCAATCATATATGGGCTAATTTTGAAAAAAAGAACAGGGATGTCCTTGTAATTAACCACTTTACAAGAGAAAACTATTTTTTGAAAAGATCTCACTTTTTTTCTGAACTCTGTTATTCATTTGAACTACCTGACTGGCTTTCTTTTCTCGTAGCTTTTATATCAAATTCTTGGAGGCACAGGGGGGG